GGTCACCAAGGCACGTTTGTCCACAGTCATTGTGGTTGCCAAAGCACGTTTGTCCACACACATTGGGGCTGCGAAAGCACGTTTGTCCACATACATTGGGGTCGCCAGAAGCACGTTTGTCCACACACATTGGGGCCGCGAAAGCACGTTTGTCCACATACATTGGGGTCGCCAAAAGTACGTTTGTCCACACACATTGGGGCCGCGAAAGCACGTTTGTCCACACACATTGGGGCCGCTAAAGCACGTTTGTCCACACACATTGGGGCCGCGAAAGCACGTTTGTCCACAGACATTGGGGTCGCCGAAGCACGTTTGTCCACACACATTGTGGTTAGCAAAGACAGTCCTGTCTACATACATTATGGTCGTTAACGCTAAAGTACACCGTGTCCACATACATCAGGGGCTCAAGGAGCCACCGGTTTCCATACTTTCACAAAGAAGTTGGCAAAAGTAGCAGTCAGCGGCAGGCAGGGATTTATCATTTCAATAAAGTTTGGGAACAGGAAGTTGACATATGGAACAGCACACTCCTTAAGCTTTGCCTTCCCAGCTATCGGATTCTACAAGTCCGGTGTCGTGGTCCCGAGCATGCAGTTTGCTTGGACCTTTGCCTTTTGCCATGTTTTGCCATGGCCTCCGATGATGTGGACCTTCTTGAGGACTGGCTCCTGACTCCTGTGACTCCTGTGTCTAGATCGAGTGTTGTGGGTTTTCGGTCAAGAAGCCAGCGACCTTAGCTTGATCAGCTGAGAATGAGAAGTATTCTCGTATGGCCATGTTTTTCGTCCCAGGTGCCGGGACAACGACAAAACATAACCCGCCCCGAAAATGCCTTGTCAGCTTGTCAGCAGGATGTGGCTTCACACGACGGTGATGATTTCGATTTCGATCTTTTGGAGGAGCGGCGTTTGCATTGTCACGTCAGACAGATAAGATTAGAGTCTTTGGAGTCTTTGCCTTTGCGGCTGCAAGCTCGGTGTCTGGGCGCTTCCATTGTAAGCCTACACTACATGCCTACATGCAGTAGCATCAGGGCCTTGATTCCGACGATGGAGCTGGCGTCGGTCTTGTGGACTTCGGGCCCGAGGCCTTGCGGTTCAATACCAGATCCCTAAACCTGAAAACTACAAACCCTAAAACTAAACCTCCTAAACTTGCCTTTTGTAGTGTCCTTTCCGGTTATATGGTTTAAATTCTGGTGCAAGGGCTTGAGGGCCGACTTAGGTTCTTGATGTTGATGCCTACGGTTTGAGGGTTGTAAGGGGGTGATTCTGTTTGACAGCTCTACTAGGTCCTTGGGAGGGGGCACTGGAGAAGTGTCGCGGCGGGCGGGGGGACATTGCACAGGGGCGTGGGGCGCACCCCGTTCTGAATATCATTGAGCCCCAGCCGAAAGCAGCCCGGACAGATCCTGCTCCCCGACGACGAGCAACATGCTGAAGCTGCTGCTGATGCCGGGGTATTCGACCTGCTTGAGGAGACTCGCTTGCTAAGCCTAAAGCCAAAGCCCAAAGCTGTTGCAGGGTGGAGTTCTTCCCACTAGATTCATTCAGTAGATGTTTTTCATGTCATTGGGTTTGTTTCAAGATATTCATTCATATATACATAACATAGAACAGTCTCCCTCAGTGCCTTCTGTGCGTTGGCATTGGAGTATCAATTCCAAGACTCTCTTGGACTTGGGCATGAGTTAGGATCACACCATCCCAATTGCAATATGACTCATATGACTGTACGTTTCAAGAAGAAGTTTTCGCCCGAATACCCCGCCTGACAATAACACTGAGTCACAACAGTCAATGGGCATGGGCTGGTGTCGCCCCGCCGGCTCAGGACATGGGCGTGGACGTCATGGACGATCGATCGGGGCAGCGCAACCCGGAATCTGATGACTCTTGCTTGCAATCTCAAGTTTCGCAGGAGCAACACGAATCGCCGTGCACTAATCTGATAGTGCTGACGACATATACCGTTGCGACCAAATACAAAAGTTGACATTGAAGCGTGCTGTTGCGTTTTGGTTGCCCGCAGTTGGGCTCCACTTTCCTGTGTCTATCTGCGTCATCTGAGCATATCTGACAGCCATGTCTAGTTCCAGCGAGAAGATGGCGGGCAAAACCGTCGAAGGCCTGGCGCATGGCTCAAGTGCTGAAGCGGCAGACAAGACGTTTGGAGGCCTGGAGCGTGGCTCAAGCGGCGCTAAGTCGACCGAAAAGAAGGAGAAGACCTTCGCAGCGGGTTCGAGGCATGGCTCATCCACGGAGAAGGCTGAGAAGAAGCCGAAGAAGGACACGGCCTTCACAGACCTCGCTCGTGGCTTCCTGCTGGCCGAGAAGTCCAGTGAGTCGAAGTTCAGTGAGCCGAAGACCGGTGAGTCGCGAATTATTTTCCCGGATGATGATGTGGTGATTGCCAAGTTCGATTCTGACATGGATATCAGAATCGGGGGAGGGGAGGTTTTTATCCGTCCCAGCTCCTATCCGGATTCCGACTAGAGCCCCGTTTTGAGCGCTGGTTCTCTTCATGTCGCACATGCGGCGACAGAGTTTTGAGTTTTGAGTCTAGAGTCAGTCTTGTGAGCTTGGAAGACTGGCAGAGTGGCAGAAGCTTCGCAAAAAGATTTTGATGTGCGATTTGTTTGCAATTTGCTTTCCAGGTTCCAGTTGCTGCAGCTTTTAGAAGTTTTAGAAGTCTGCCCTTCAAAATCAAGTACTCGCAAACCAATCTCTGTGCTTTGCTCTACTCTCCTCCGTTCTCAGGATGTTGCTCCACGCGCGGCGCCTCCTGCCGGATGTGTTGTGCCTTGGGCAACATGGGAGAGTGATTGAGTTAAGAGCAATGCTATGCTTGGCCCTTGGTTTGTAGCTAGAAGATTGATCAGATTGATGATTGTGATTGTGAGTTTTAGTCGGCGGCGATGGTTGCGCATGCCCCCCTAAAGCATATCACCAAGTAGGACCTAAGCGAGTGTTGTTGGGATTGGAAATCCGCAGTCTGCTCTCCTGCGGCACAAACAGTATGGAGCGGACATAGAGTCTCTTACGTCTTGTAGCATTCTCAAGTGGTTCGTTAGCGGTGTAGCTACTTTAGTTACTTTGGATCCTGTTTCCATAGCCACTAGTCACTAGTCACTAGTCACTAGTCCAGAGCCACAGGCGCAGCCTTCAGTGTATGGCACCGGAGACGGACGAAACCGGACGCGAACCCAATTATGTTTGCTTGCTGCCAAAGGGCGAGAAGCCCTCAGCCGCAGGAGACAGGAGGCGGCACTCCAAAGCAATGCGCAGGTTCTGGGCGAATTTGCAGAGCAATTTAACTCTAGTTCTGGTAGGCAAGCTCCTCATCTCAAGCTCGTGAAGCCAAAGAGGGGATGTGGCAAGCTGGGTGCGGCTCTCATGTTGAGGGCTCGGAAAGCACGTCGAAGTCGTGAGCAGCTTTCAGTGAGTGAGATGTGTTACATTGCGTTTCGCAAACGACACAATCGGCACGCTGTCGCTGATGACTTTTCGGTTTCTCGTCAGTTGGTCATGCGTGTCTATGGGGTTATGGCCCACACATTGCTGGAAGTACAGTTGCGCTTGCTCCGTGACTTGGTGGATTTCGCATCTACCAACAAACCAGATGTTGCGACTGCCTGTGTTATGTGGGACGAGACCAGTGTCTTCCTGGCCGTAGATGCCGTTAAAGGAAGTAAACTTCACCAGCAGAAATCATCTTGGAACGTTCTTTGCTGCAGAGTGCATTGTGCGCTGGGATTTGTGAAAGGGGTAAAGCTCTACAGAGAGTTCGTGATGCCACCGATCCCCTTGCCAAGCAATTCCTCGCATTGCATTTTCAATGGCCTCCGATCTCATCCAGTCAGCAAAGGTGTGCACGATCTGTTGGACAAGCTTTTGGAGTGTGCCAAGGTTCGAGCAATCTTCCGAGAGGCCGACGGCCATCTCGGCAACGAGAAACTGAATGCTCACTTGTACAACTTGGAGCAGGCGAGATTCCAGAGGCAGCGCGATGCGCCTGTCTACTGCGAGCTACTCCTTTGCACTAATCACCAAACGCACTTGGTGATGATGGATGTCGTGCGCAATTCGAAGCAAACAGAAGGCACAGGAGGCAAGCTGCTGGACAATATGTTTTGCGGTGCCCTGTGGTTGCGAATGGGTGCGCACTTTCAGCGTCTAGTTCACAGTATTCGTGACCGTGTTCGAGATCCAACCTTTTTCAGGTGGGTTCAAAATCCAAGTTCTGCCCAGCTTCGGCAGGGTCAAGCCTATCGGCTTGAGCTTGCGTCGTATCTCATCGACAACCTGCACCACCACGCAAGACAGATGTCACCCGATGAGAACAGAGGCAGGCTGGCGTTTTAGAATGCCGACCCCCTCCCNNCCCCCCCCCCCCCCACACACACCCACACACACACACACAACAAACACACACACACACACACACACACGCACGCACGCACGCACCCAGACACACACACACACACCTATGCACGCACACACACACACACACCCACACACACACACACCCACACACCCACACACACACACACGCACACGCGCACACACACACAATCACACGCATATATATATATATGTATATATATATACAGACACAAACACCGGTGCTTACTGTGTCTCACGATGTTCAACAGAAGTGAGTGAAAGTCTCTAGTGACAGTGAGTCTAGTGTATAGTATAGTGGAGTCTAAGCTACACTTCTTCTGCATGCTCGGTTTCGATTGTTTCGGTTGTCCAATTGACCGACAGTGCTGGACATGACATTTTTGTGAGTGTGTGTTTGTGCCCTGTCTTCGTGGAGGTCATGCTGATGCTGCTGGGACCACTGCGCGAGACATCAGACATTGCTTTTCAGCTGTCCTGAACGGCCCAACAGATCGCACAGCTCTCGTTCATCAATGCACGCACATTGGGTGTTGTGCCTCGCGGGCCGACGCCGAGTCGAAAGTAGTGTCTGCCGTGCTCGGAGTGTTGATGCGGCTGGTGCCGACGATCCCCCTCATGTCCGATTGGACGAAGGTCGGGCCGGCTATCGACTGGTTCCTTTCTGCCGATTTTGCTGGCACGTTGTCTCGACTAGTGAAAGATGCAAGACTCCTGGATCGCGCTCCCAAGCCGGCAGCAGACGCCGAAGATGAACTTCACGAGAAGATCGACTGGGCTCGCTTGGCAGGACGCCGGCTAGTGCGTACGCAGAAGATGTTGGAGTCTGCAGAAGAGCGCCTGCGTCGGGCAATCCTGGCCGTCTCGATCGAGCCATTGAGACATGTGCACAGCACTTTTTTGAAATTCGCTCACGCTGCAGCGGACTCGGAATCTTGGCCGGTTTTGCTCAACGAAGTCTGGACGCCGACCAGCAAGATCTGTTCCGTGTTGCAGTACCTGTCAACACTGTTGGCTGGCCAGGGCTCAAGGTTGGCGTTGGTGTCGCAGGAATCAGGTGAGATCAGCTTGCAGGGCTGGATCAGATCAAGGCCCCAAGAGGCCAAGGCAGCCCGCCAGCAGTTCTTGTTGGTTGCAGTGGGTCTCCATCGACGCTATGAAGCAAACATTCTGCGGTATCCTTTCAAGTTGTTTGGAGTCGCCGATGCACGACGAACTGCAGAGCACACCTCCCTGTGCAAGGACTTCTTCAAGACTTCTCCGTGCTGCCTACCGCCTGGGCTGGCAAGGGAGCTGCGACAGCAAGAGACAGAAAAGTCATTTATCGACGAGCTTCCAGTTTGGCGCTGGCTGTTCTTGTTGTCCAGCCTCATCATCAAGCTCACGATCGCGGGGGTGGAACGACGTCATGCAGTACACAAGCGGTCCGCGAACCCCACAATGCCATTTTATTTATTCTCTGCTGATTCCATCCTGGCTGAGGCAAGACACCAAATGATGGCCCTGGATCGCCTGGTATCGGAACGCAAAGCCCGGGCGGAGGCAGCTGCAAGGTCGTCAATGTCCCTCAACTCTGAACTACCTGTGGCTAAGGCCGGCAGGAAGCGTGCAAGATCGGCGCCAGCCTCAACTGGGGTCAGTCGTGGTCCTGGTGTTCTTGACAGCCAACCCAAGAGAGCCAAAACTCAGAGTCCTTTCGAGCTCTTTCGTAAGATTTGGCTACGAAATCAAGGAGAGATCCATTCAGGACCGTTCAACCCTGCCAGCAAAGAGGCTTGGGCAGCTTGCAAATCTGCCTTTGAGGCGTTGCCCTTGCATCAGCTTGAAAACCTCAAGCGACAGTCTGAAGCTACACGCGTGGCAGCACACTCCTCCCGTGTGGCATCGAAGAAGCGAGTGGATGCCCCGGCAGTCGAAGGAGCGAGCTCTGTTACAAACAGAGACGGAGAAGCACCCGAAAGCAATCCCAATGCAGTGCTGCAAGCCACCGATGCCTTGGCTGCCATGATTGAGGATACAAAAGCAGCCACAGCGGTCCAGCGTCAGCAGGCCACGCAACGGCCGCCTTTGCCGAACAGCATTGCTTGCCAAAGCTTGAACTCCGCATTCCTTGAGCAGGCTACCCGCAAACCTCAGGAAGCCTTGGATCAAAGCCGCTATCCAATTCCAGCAGCAGCCGTCAAAGAGCGAATGTCGCAGAAAGGTTACTCAAAGAACAGAGATGCCGAGAACTTTCGTCTTCTCGCGCAGCAACTTGCATCAGGGCCAGGGGTACCTGACAGTGTTGTCTATCCTATGCACTGCGGAAAGCTTTGTCGCAACAGCGGAGTCCACACGGATCGCGTGATTGACTTTCATGGAAGAGTCGTATCTGCTTTGCAGTCTGTTGTTAAGGACATATGTGGGGGTGCGAAAGAGGTCCCCAACGCAGGGATCTTGTTTGCAGCTGAGCAATTCCTCGACCCTGCATCTCCCAGTCCTGATGCTGTCACGTGGCCCGGCCGAGTCGATCCTAGAGCCCTATGTGTGCGTGCTGGGTTTAAGTTTTGGGTGGGGATCACGGGTCCTCGTCTGCAAACTGTCTTCGTTTGAGGTTCAGCGCAAGTCACTTGCCGTTCAGGTTCTATGCGCTTGCTGCGGCTGCCGGACGGCAAGCACACCACCCAGCGCAAGCTACCCTGGTCAAGTTGAAAAGCTTGCAAGGGCCTTGTGTGCCAGGGATGCGTTAGAGTTGGAGTCTTTCAGCGATTCTATAAAATTTCGTTGACATGTGTATGGGGGGAAGTGGCTTGGCGGGCTGCTTGGAGTAGAGTCGAAGTCAAGAGGGCCACCAACACTCAACGCTCAATGACTCGAGGCTCTGAATAGTCTACGTCCACTCCTTGATGACTTGATGTGTAAGTCCACAACGTCACAACGAGATATCCGATATCCCGTGCTCCTCTCATCGCAGGGTTTTCACATTTCCAAACAGTACTTGAAAGAATCATTTGGCCTCATTTTAAGCTCAAGCCCAATCGCATCCAAACCCAGCCAAGACATCTGCAGCTGGAGCAGCCGGCTTGGTCTTGCAACATGCTTATGATGCGTTCGTTCCAGCGTGGCGGAAACGGCGGTCACCTCTCCACCAAGCTAGTGTTGGCAGGCCGACGGTCAAGTTTCTCAGATCACGTATGAAATTGCAATGTCCTTAGTTGCATAAAGCTGCTTCAGCTTGTACAGCTGAACGAATTCTTGGGCCTGTCTGGACTCTACACACAATCGACAGTTGAAAACAGTCTATAGGAGTCTATAGTCTATATCACTATAGTCTACAGTCTTAGTCACAGTCTATAGTCTGTCCCCTGTACGCTGCGCATAGAATACTATTTTCTAGTATGGGCCTGGGCAGTATAGGTCGGTAAGTCGATACGTCGATCGATAGGTCTACAGCCTATAATTCTTTTATTTTTTCTAATGCACAGTCAGTTTTATAAACTTTAAGTTTTAAGTCATTTCAGTCATTTCATTAAATCTCGAGAAGTCTCTCATTCTCAGTGCTGCCGCAGTGCTTGCAACCCCACAGTCATGAATTCTACTTGACTGCAGGCTGGTATGCTTGACGGAGGATGCCTTTGCTGCTGCCATGTGTTATGTCGACCTGCGCCCCGTGGAGATGTTGCGTGTGACACTCCTGGATTGGGAGTTTGAAGCATCCTTTGCACGCTTGGACACATACCGAATTGTCAAGACTGGGACACAGATAAGTGTCGAAGCTGCACCAGAGGCACCAGCAGATGATGTTGTGCAGCCAGCTCCGGCCGCGGCAGCTGCCGTGGGTGAGGCTGTGTTCGTGGACTTGCTGGCCGATATGGAGGCCAATCGTCGGCACCAAGGATCTCAGCACTCTCGGAAAAAACGGCAGCGGGTGGTGCAGGCTGTCTTGCACGACGAGTTCGATCCTCTTGCCTTGGCCGTCGCTGACTTCTATTCCGCAGAAGACGGGGACGCACATCCTCGCCAGGAAGAGCTCGAGGATTTGGAGGACGAGGCCAATCTTCCCAATGTGGCGGTTGAAGCAGACATCGCCCCAGCCGCTGCTGAACCTGACGGAGAGAACATGGCGGCGGAAGAGGACCGGCCACTTCGGCAAGAGGATGTGCAACTTGAGGCCCACCCTGAGGCCCAAGCTGAGGCTCCAGAATGTCAGCCGCAGTACGACGCCAGCCGTGATGACTTGCCGATTTTCGACGCAGGGTGCTCTCATTTCAAGAAGCGAAGTGACGAGACAGACGTCGGGCGATTGCACTGGATGCGTGACACCATCATAAAAGCCACCTGTAAACAACACAGGAACTGCGCCTGCATGGTGGAAATGCCACCAGAAAGGTCAGCGCGAATGCACGCGGTCATGGCACGCCTTGGCCGTAGGCCCCTCCTGGAAGACATTGAAGGTGACCTAATTGCATGGCTGGCCCTTGTGTCCACGGTCACTCGGGAACAGCACCAGACGGCCGCCCGGAACTTGAAAGTGCAGAGGTGGAACGTCAAGGTGAGGCAGCAGAGGTAGGGGGGCCCAGGCCTCGGTGATGTGCAGCTTGGCCGCTACGGAGCGTTTCTGCTGCATTGCTGCAGGTTTCCAGCGGTGTACTGCTAGTTAGGCTGTTAGGGTCAGAACCGGACTTATCGAGCTGCAGTGCAGTGCCTCGTAGCAGCAGTAGCGACTGGATGTCCAATAGGGCAGGCAACAGGGTGGGAGTAGGCTGGGCAACAGTATGTGAAGATTTGGTCAGTGCCAGCTTGCCTAGGTCTCGGGCTTTCGGCTGTTGCGCTGGTCTGGGCCTTGTTTGTCAGAGTGGAGAGCTTGAAAGTTCTGCTGAGTCATGCTAGTCATGTAGAAGTGTTACAAGTGCCTGAATTGAAGTGAAGCTGCTGAGTTGATTGCTGAGATTCTTATCCAGTGCTCCATTTCTTGACACTTACTGCCACTGATTGGCACAATCAAGTCAATCAAGTCAAGCTATGTTGTAAAGCCCCAGCGACAGCATAAACCCCGCAGTGAAACCGGGCTAAAGATGTCTGTCCCCCCCACTGGACCCAGCCACGAGGTCCTCAGAATCTGAACGATCCGCAAGATGTCCGCTTCGGACTCCTCTGTTGAAGTGCAGCCCTCAGATCCCGGTGGACTGCATGCTGCATGGTTGTCGAGTTGTAGGAGGACAAGGGCTCGGCTGTTCGATGTGCTGCTTGAGCAGAACACGTACGTGCACTGTGAGACCATGCCATGCCCATGCCCTGGCCCATGCTGGATTCAACAGTCCTCAACATGTTGGATTCGGTGTGCTGGGATTCTCTACCGTTTCTGCCAAACTGTAGACTGTAAACTGTAAACTGTACGCATATAATATATACTTCACTTAATTCACACTTAACACATTTTAACACATCATGTGTCAGTATGCCGCTACCACATAACGATCGCTGTCGACGAGGTGTGTTTGGTGCCAAAACGATGCTTTCGTGACCCTAAGCCTCTGAGGCTTGAACCGCCTAAGCCCGCAACCCCCCCAGCCTCAGCCAAACCACTAAGCCACTAAGCCGCAAAACCCAAAACCTTTAAGCCCCCAAGCCGAGCCCCTAAGCCCCAAAGCCCGAAGGTCCCCAAGCGCCAATCCGCCCAGGTCGTTCTGGATTATTCGGTGCTTTGTCTTTCGCCGTGGGCGTGCCTGCCTCATCGTGATTTATGGATCGTGGGTCGCAAAGGTCGGCCTTTTGGCCTTTTTGGCTTTTGGGCGTATGTCGAGAGTCTAGAGTGTAGAGTTAAGTTTAGAGATTTAGAGGGTTTCTTTCAGATGCAGGCAGGTCACTATGGGTAGAGTTTAGAGTCTAGAGTTTGGAGTTTAGAGGGTTTCTTTCGGATGTAGGTCAGTATGGGGCGAGCGACTACTCAGTACGCTCCATTTCCCAATAAGGATCTAGATGTGGTGCACCTGACACAGGGCTTCAATCTTGCCACCCAAACCGTGCCCCCTAGAAGTGCCATATAGTAAAGTCCGGAATCCAGAAGGTTCGCAGACCCTTATCCTAGAGCCACTGCCAGTGCCCTATCAAACAACGGTAAAGTGTTGGGAAAAGAACCTCAAGTAAACCTAAGCTCATGTTGCAACTTCCTCCAGCTCACGATCAGCCGAAGCCTCCTAAGACTCCTATGCTTCAGCCGTTGCGATTGAGGATTCCAGAATCGGCTTCAGGATTCTAGCCCAGGGATTTGGGCTTTTAGGAACCACACAGCCATCTCGGGTGTAGGCTTGGGACCTGGTACTCGGGCCCTGCGGTCTATAGGCTCACGTGCAGACGAAACGTAAGTCTGGATATGTCGTCAGGCGCTGGTGCCACGCGGCTTTCCGTCGGAAGCAGATGAGGCCATGGCACCTGTGGGGGTGGCAGGTCCTTCGGCTCTTGCAAGGTCTCCGAGTGTGCCTGCATTAGTAATAGTCTACCACTGGGGGGTTTAGCGAAAAGGTGCCAAGGTAGAGATCGCCTGGTCAGTTCTCGGGCTTGTGTGCGCATAGTTCGTGAAAGCCGTGTACCGTGAGCAGCATGTGTCGGCATCAAATGTGGATAGCTCACGGACACGGCGTGGACATCATGTGGAGAACCAGCGGACAGGGCGCGGACACGGTGTGGATAATTTGCGGGCGTGGTGTGGGAATCGAGCGGACATGGTGTGGAAATCTCGCGGACAACTTGCGGACAAGGTGTGAAAAACCGCGGGCACTGTGCGGACAACTTGCGCGGACAACTTGCGGACAAGGTTTGAAAAAACGCGGACACTGTGCGGACAACTTGCGGACAAGGTTTGAAAAAACGCGGACACTGTGCGGACAACCTGCGCGGACAACTTGCGGACAAGGTTTAAAAAAACGCGGACAGTGTGCGGACAATTTGCGGACAAGGTTTGAAAAACGCGGACGCTGTGCGGACAACTCGCGCGGACAATTTGCGGACAAAGTGTGGACACAGGCAGCGAAACCATGCGGATACAAGCCGAAAGTTTAGATGCGACAGGTTTTGCTGTCAAAAACAGACAGTTGTCCACACCTTGTTGTCCGCAAAACATCGTTTGTCCACAAGACTTTGTCCACAAACTTCTGTCCACAAAGTGTTGTTTGTCCACACTTTTTGTCCGCAAACTTCTGCCCACAAACTCTTGTCCACAAGACTTTGTCCACAAACATTTGTCCACAACCTTTTGTCCACAAACGTTTGTCCACAAACGTTTGTCCACAAACTTTTGTCCACAAACATTTGTCCACAAACTCTTGTCCACAAACTTTTGTCCACAAACTTTTGTCCACAAGACTTTGTCCACAAACTGTTGTCCACAAACGTTTGTCCACAAACGTTTGTCCACAAACGTTTGTCCACAAACGTTTGTCCACAAACTTTTGTCCACAAACTCTTGTCCACAAACTTTTGTCCACAAACTTGTGTCCACAAGACTTTGTCCACAAACTTTTGTCCACAAACTTGTGTCCACAAGACTTTGTCCACAAATGTTTGTCCACAAACTTTTGTCCACAAACTTTTGTCCACAAGACTTTGTCCACAAACGTTTGTCCACAAACTTTTGTCCACAAACTTTTGTCCACAAACTTTTGTCCGCAAACATTTGTCCACAAACGTTTGTCCACAAA